TACACACGCACAAAAGGGTGAATAGCTAGACCTGTATGAGGTCTGAATTTTGACAATTTGCGCCAAGACAACAACTGATAGAGAAGTGGACATGTTGAGAGACAGAAACAAACCGCTGGAGAGTGGTTGAAGACGACGACAGACAGGAGGCATGGGGATAATAAGTGGGTGAGCGGATAAATGGAAGGTACTGCTGCCTGTACAGCATGAGTTGCCTTGACTGCATGACTGGAGAGAGACAGAGACGAGAGTGAATGGACGAGTAGATCGCAGGCCTTGTGCTCAGATGATCACATGCTAAGAGCACTTGAATGATTAACTAGTTGGCATGACAGCCAATGCAAAGATGGCTCTGCCTAAACCATCAACCAAATATACACGTAGCTTCAAAATGCGGTTGACCTATCGAGGGATGGAGAAGTAGTTCTACACTCTCCGGACTGCATCGTCTGGCCTGCGTTGTGTACAGGCAGTCTCGTAAGGACAGACGCAAAGTCATAGACTCTGGTGGTCTCCGTCGCCTCGACTCAACTCGATCCAAATCAACTCAACTCAACTCAGTTCAACTTGCTCAATTCGACGCAACTCAACTCAACTCGACTCGACTCGACTCGACTCGTCTCGACTCAGGCGCTCAATCGCAGAGGCAACCTACCGGACAGGGCACCGAATTGTCAGCACCAGCGCCGTCGAGTCGGCCCGACCTCAGCGTCGGTTGTGCCCACTCGGTGCTCCAGGAAGTAGCCCGGCCCGTCGGTTTGTGTTGTCCCCGAGTGAACTTTGCCAGCACGCATCTGTTGGATATATATACCCTCAGGATGCCATTTTGTCGGCAAGACGAAGAGACGAGTTGAATTTGGCGAATACGTGCGTGGAACCGTGGAGAATGGCTGACACCTTGTCGATGGGACTGGATTCTCTGAATGAAGTATTTGCCGGATATCTCGTCAATGAAGAATCTCCATACGATTACAAGGTGGGTCCAGTTGGATACAGATCTTTTAACATTGTTGTCAGGATCTATTTCAAAACCTTATTTGACTGCTATTGGCAGCTACTTCAACAGCCAGACAATACCAAATGGGGCATTTGCTTGCGCTCCCTGCCAAGATGCAGGTTACAATCTCGCACTTGAAATCGCATCCACTGTCTATCCTTGAAATAGTAAATTTCAACAAAGTCTCTGTATGAAATTGGCATACCTTTCATTTCGTCTGACAAGAATTCGGAGATTAGCCTCACTGGATGCCTTGGGTTTTAGTCTGTTGAACCGTGCCCAGATGACCTCGGCTCATCGTCCCACGACATCTGGGTCTGGGTCATCATCGCATAATTCAGCAGACAAAAGTCCAAGGCAACCATCCTTTGGTATCCGGTAAGGCCAATTTATGAATCCCTCCCAGCTGCCTTCTCAAACTAAATGAAATGTATACCAGTTCCAATCTACTAAGGGATTCTTCGAAGGCCAACTTCTCCATCAGAAAAACGTCCATTGAATCAGAGCCTAATGTTAAGCCAAGTCAAGAATAGTAATGCATATTTAATATCTTATATTTCAACATACTTCGTCGCATAAATTGATGAAGGACTGATTTATGAGTTTTCCCACAATGACAAGAGTGGAAAAGTGTTGAGACTATACATTACCTGGGTTCGATTCCCACCAGTAGGGCTGATAACAACCTGAGAGATGATACATTTTGAGAGGCAAAGCTTAGTGTAAGTCACTGGAAATGTGAAGCTTACTTGTATAATTGTTAGAGTATAGTTAGTATCCAAGGCTTAATGATTCTCGGAATTTTCTATATTTGTACATCAGGAAAGTTTAGTCTAGGGTAAATTTTATTCTCCCCTCGACTGACTATTCTATTAAAAGGTT